TGTCGGGGTCACCAACCTCAGAACAAGATTTAAAGGTTATCAACTTAAAAGTTCCTATACTTCTGGTCTTATTAGGAAGAATAAGCGGTGGAAAATATCTCACAGAATTATACCACATAAAAAATAAACGGCGTTAAAATTTGAGAATGTCTGCGCCATTCTGAACTATTTTAGTTCAAACCAATAAGCACTGCTCCTTAACTTTAGGAATATTCTAACTGTTTGCATTATCTAAGCCATGAAATGTCACAAAAAGGAACTATACTACTCATAAATTTAAATACTTTTGTGGAATATTCAAAGGTCTCATTATGTAGTAGACTGGAGTCGACATAAACTAAAGTGGTTAAATAAGCTTTCGAAAACTGAAAAGTCTTTTTTATGAAATCTTAGGAATATGCACACTAGATCACAGGAATTATCAAATAAATGCTTGACAGCAGCGAATTCGAACCGGCCTTATACACATAGCTGAAGCTATGGGAATTCGACAGAACAATCCTAACGCCTTTGCATACAAAAGAAGTTTGTTCTACCTTTGTCTCTCCCTAGCCTGGCCTTCGTGTTTTAATGATGTTACTCCCAACGAACAGTCTGAAGCATAATCCAGCCCGTCACAATTAAGAATATCATCGTCGGTGATAATAGACAGCCTCGTCATACTTTACCAGTTACTTTCTTTCTTCCTTTAAATGTGATCGATCTTTTTTTCAGATATTCCACTCCACAAATCAAATACTACTAACATCTTTTTTCATTTTAGGAAATAGCCGTTAATTTAAATAAATGGAAAGGTTATTATGTTATTCATTTACAACTTAGTTCACGCTCAATAATGCGTTGATTGAGCTGTCTAGTTGTTCGCCCTATATAACTTTCTCTGCAGTAGCAAATACATTTTCAGATACACATAGAAGTCGCACAGCTAGGCAGCTTATCTTTCGCTTGTGAACCGGCCAATTATAATTGCAGTCAAGACAAGTTACCTAGTTGTGCGACTTCTATGTGTATCTGAAAATTTAGTTGCTCCTGTGGAGAAAGTTATACAGGGCAAAAAACTAGACAGCTCAGACAACGCATCAATGAGCATCTTCCTTCATGATTCGGAAAACGCCATATAAAATCTATAAGAAGTTCTGTTTTGGCTCATTTGATTGATACCGGTCACCAATTGGACAGAAGTAGTGCCTTCAAGGTTGTCCATCGGATTCCATCGAACTTTCTGAACGGAATTCGAACCCGCTTTTCACACATAACCGAAGCTATGGGAATCGATTCGAGAGAACAATCCTAGTCTTTGCATACAAAAGAAGTTTGTTCTACCTTTGTCTCTCCCTTGAACTAGGTGAATTCTATTCAAAACCCTCCCACCCTTTCTTATCTTCCATCTCCTTCGTACTTTTATAATATTTATTTAAACTCTGGTTATCTCTCCACTTCACGCACCTTTAGTACTAGGCGACTTTTAAGATTTGACCTAATTTATTTATTCATTGAATTGTCTATATATACACATAATACTACCTTAGTTATTCTTATCGCCACCTTCATAAACCTTCATATCATCATTTTGTTATCATCATGCTGTCTTTCCTCGGGGATTCAGAAAATATGCAACTGAGAAATCATTTGATGAAGAACTGCGAGATCTTCGAGAGACCTTGATAGAAAATGGTTTCCGACTCAGGCGCACAGACATGAATATAAAAATGAAGAATAAGTTTGAAAAGGTCTAACTCTCCCCCATAAAAGATGCTGATGCTTAACCCCTGATGTAAAAGTGATACTGAAGCACGAATTCTCCGTAGATGGTTTTCTAAATTTCTCAGTAAAACATACTTCGCCGCCAGCCTAAGACTAACATATTCTTCCAAAATCCTTTTCGGCCAGCTCGTGAAAGACAAGCTGTCGCACTGGGCCACTTCAACGTGCATATACCAGTTCACTTGCTCGTTTGGAGCCAAGTACATTGGCCGTACCCCGCGTCGTCTTGTAAAACGTTATAGAACGGTTGCCAAAGGGAGAACGCAAGGGTGTATACATTTTGGTAACAGAACATCTAGTGAACTCAGGACATTCAGCTCCATTTGGAAAGTTCTTCAAAGTCATGTAAAAGATCCGATCAAACCTCTCAAGGGTCATCTAAGAATAGCTAAGTCACTGGCGATTCAAAAACTTAAGTCACTGCACTGTATTCAAAAGAAATACATCCAACCTTTATCTTTAACATCTATCTGTCTGAACTCACTGTCTATTTTGTTATTTTGTAGATTACTGTGAAGGAGGCATTTGTTGAGATGGAATGACCAGTATTGACGAGGTGTTCTATTATTGCACTCCTTATGCAGCCATTACTTCCTTTCTGTAGCCACGCTGGATAGTGTTCTTTGACCCTTTTTGACAAGATACGCGTTGAACGACCGATGTACCTGGCTCCACAGCAACAGGTGAACTGATATATACACATAGAAGTGGTCAGGGGCGGGATCTTGTATTTTGGGCTTCTGTAGATCAGCGGGCAACTAGAGAAGACTACTCTCAATGTTGCTGCAAAGAAAGTTCTTCTTAAAGAGGTGGAGATTCTCCTTCTAAGGACGTCACTGAGTAGGTCTCCTTTGAAGTTGAGGTTCATACAAAGTATCTTCTTTGGCACAGATGCTGTTTCTTGCTTTTGGAGCTTTTGTTTGATGTTTTTGTCCACAAATCTTGTTATTACTGTACTTTTAATCCCTAACTGCATACAAATGTCAAGTTTCTCGGAAACTATGATCTTATTATGTTTTTATCCGATCTCTTGTAATTTGATTAGTTTAGCCCTTGAAAAGAAATAGTCCTGGAACTTTCTCACCCATTTACCATAAATACATGGATATACAGCCTAGGTGCTAGCTTCGTCGGAGAGAAATCTTCAGAACTCGAGGATGCACAGGTAACTTGAAAACGAGTAAGATATGATAGTTTGTCAAGCTGATGGTGAAAATATACCCCCCATGAGAAGAGGTATTGAGTCATTATTATTAATATTATTTCCTTTAATTCCTAGAGGAACATGGGGCTTCAGCCATGCGTCTCCATTGAGTTCGGTTCTCTGCTAGAGTCTTCACCTGGCTCCAAGTCTGCCCACACGCTGTCATCTCCTCTTCACATGACCTCCTCTAAGTTACCCTTGCACTGACGACCAACTCGCCGCTTCCCCTTCAGGTTTCACTTGAGCAATGGCTTGTCTAGTGATGTCACTTGATGGTTTCCTCAGAGTATGGCCAATCCATCTCCATTTCTTCCTGTCTATTTGCTTCACAATTGGTTCCTGGTTGGTTCGCTCCCAGAGATCTCTGTTGCTGATCTTATCTGGCCGGCCATCTGATCTTGAGTATTGAACGAAAACAGCTAGATGTTGATGAAGGCTTGTAGTTTGTTTGAGATGCTCTTCATGACTCGCTGGCTAAGTCTCTGATCCGTATAGTAGCACTGACTGACTTCACATTGGAGTTGAAAATCCGGATGTTATTTTTGATGATGAGTGTTGTTGACCTCCACACAGACTTGAGAGTAGTGAAAGCTTGTCTTGCTTTTCCGATTCTTGCTTTGATATCCTCGTCAGTTCCGCCTGTAGTTGAAACGATGCTTCCCAGGTAGGTAAAGGAGGTTGTTTCTTTCAGGTTCCTTCCATTTATGCTGACTGAGTCATGGGTTAATGAAATTAACGCGTCAGGATTTCAAACTCCACATACACCATATAATAATTTGGTTTCGGCTGGTTGAGGTGCTAAACTAAGCTGGGACAAAAGTTGGATTGCTGCTAGATTCTAAATTATTATCTCAGGAATATTTTCCCTCTAAGAATAGAATTACTCCAGATTTGAGTAATTGTCTTTAAAAGTAGAACAAAGCCATCTGGGGTGGAACAGAAACTGCTTTGGGAAGCAGCAGTTATTCACCAGCAAGTGACTGTAGGATGAAGTCGGATGATGGTGCGAAGATTCGTGAATTAGCAGAATTTGGAATTCATTGGGTGGAAGCTGGACTCCATTCCAATGACTAAATGACCAACGAGATCCCATTGTAAGCTAAAATTCCTGGGTCCGATCCCTGACAGGCTCATGAGTGAGTACTAGTAAAGAGTCTGGAACAAGGGTGGAACAGGTGTCCAGTGGATCTGCACCTGGAGTCACTTCGTGATCAAGCATGAACTCAAAGACTGTTGGTTTGGATCTCGTTACACTACTATCCATAAGATTTCATTTTTTTGAATCTTTAACGGGTCATCCTGATGTAGTTCATAGGACCAAACATAGAAAGTTTCCAGTTGACTTCAGATATGGATAAATGTTAATTCTTAAAAATTTATTTGTAGGGATTTGATATTGAATCGAGAGCCACTGAAAGCCAGTATGGAGTACTAGATATCTGTTTCGTCCTAGTTTGCGGCTCGACGGCAGTAAGCACTCACTGGAGGACTGGCTACAGGATGAAGTTACCTGGAGTTCTAGTGAGAAGTCGTGACCAGTGGGGTACGCAGGGTTGGGAATGACGACAAACACTCGCTGATGATACTGCCTTGCAGTCGTGCTGAAATCAGGAAATGGTGGAAGTTGGAGTTCATGAACTGTCATTGAGTCAGGTCCAGTTATCTGGATGGTTTACAAACTTGACTTGTAACCGGTAGCTCCTCAATTCGGACCTCCTATGGTGTTTGCATACTGCCGATGAGTCAGAAACTGGGAAGACACAACTTTCTAGTACTCCATGCTGGTTTTTAATGGTTCTCTAACCCTGACACTAATCAATGGTCAAACTTGAAGTGTTAATTCATAGATTTTAAATACATTACTTATAAATACTTAAGTAGTACCTTTTGTTATCATAAATTTTATTTAAGACAAATTATGGAACCAGAGGAAAGCAGCTTTAGGAATAAATAAAAGCTGTCTTATAACAGTAATAATAATAATATTTTTGTCTAGGTGATCAGATTTCCGGAGAAACACAGTCACAGAATCATGTCTGAACGCGGGTTGCTTCACTGCTCAATATCACCAATGGATTCATCATTATTGTGTGAAACTTCAACTGCAGATCCAAATTCAGCCTATGATGAACTACCAATGCCATATAGAATGTTAGACAAGATATTACAAGAAACACTTGACGATATATGGGCTACAATCGAGTCGAAGGAACACCATAAGAATAAAGCATTCAGTTTGAAGCAGTCGAAACGACAAGAATTAGACAAAAGTTTAGTAAGTTTTCAAAATCTTTCCTGGGTTGTTTTCTAATTAAAACTATCCATTTATAGAATAGCATAGAAGGTGTTCATCTATATTGTATTGTTGGAGAGTATTTCTTTAAAATATATGAAAATCAAATTAGTGTTTACAATGTTGACAGTTTACAATTTATATCAGAATGGATGTATACAAATGAAACTAGCGGTTACAGTTCAATTCGTACATTTAAAACAATTGAATTGAACAAGAATATTATATTTCAGGTATTGATTGATGATTCAGGTAAGATAAAATTTTTATTAATGTAGGCATGTGAATAGTTTTGGTATAGTTTTCTTTCTATGAACTGGATAGTAGTTTAGCTGCGAAGCTTTCCATTGCTCCCTGTCTAGACAACATCTTTAGCGGATATCTCAGTTTGAAGTAAGATTACAGCATTCTTCATGAGAATGGTTACTGAAGAAAGAATGCTCTTTTCGATAACCTGCTTTTTATAAGGTTCTGCAGTTATATACACATAACGGTGAATGAATTAGTGCTTTAAACAACATTAATATTGTTTAAATAACATCGGATCAATAGTATCAGAAGATTGCAGTTCAATAGCATCAACATAACAATAAACTGAATGTCAGAAAAATTGGGAAAGATAATAATACAAATTCATGAATTTATAGTCTCCATTGAAGGCCGGCCAGGTTAGTAGTAGTGGCTAGCTGGACTTACTTCTTTTACACACAAAGCACTGGTTGTTTCACGCGAGTTTTGATAGCCTCTGTTGTTTGAAGTATGCGGTGCCTGGATGTTTTGGCAATTTTAATGGATACCCGGTAGCTGATAGAGAAGGGTTCTTCAATGCTCTAGCTGCTTTGTGGCCGGTTTGGACCAGGTGGTTTAATATTGAACTGTTGATGGCTTTTACTACACCTTTAATGAGCCACACTGATAGATGTTCCTGAGCGAGCACAAAAAATCAAGTTCCTAGAGCAACGGCCGATATTACTCGCTCCATCACAAGCGCAGTTGAATTGGTAGGTACAATTGTAAGTGGCTAGCCAGTCTAGGTACTTCATCTTTTAGTCGAGGAATCACCATCGGTCGTGTAGAGAATAAGAAGTTTAGTTCGCCAGCACTACAAGTTCTTTGAACTGATTTTCTTAACTTCTTCGTAATTATTTCGCTTGGTATATCGCCCTTGAATTGCAGTCGTATGTATAAAGGCTTCTTGTTTACGGATAGTGTGTAGTCCTTTTCCGCTTTCTTTGTCATGTGTTTCTTGATAAATTTTTCAGGATAACCATTTTCGATTAAAGTATCATAAACCATGCTTAATTCATCCTTAATTACTTCTTCAGAGCATATAGCTCTAACTCTGTGGCTAAGGGTCTTCACTGAATTCCTTTTGTACTGGAGAGGAATGAAGCTGTGAAAATGTCATGAGTTTATCAGCCATCTCTCCTGGTAACCTTGATCGTGATTGATTGTTTCTGGATATCTTCCCATCTTCTAGCTCATTTGTATTGATGTTGATAATTTAGTTAAACTGAAGGTTGACGCTTAGCCCAAGTGACCTTCCTTTTACTAAATGACAAATCTTACCTATGTCTCTATGTTCGTTGATTACAGATTCATCTGAACACCGGGCTTCTAATAAGACTTTGGAATTTTTAGCGTCTCCTATGTCTCTACCGAGAACAAGCTGGATTTAGGGAAGGCAAATCACGTGCTGATCAAATTGCAACCGTACGCATCGTCATCATCGAACAAAGCATAGAATAACTGTCGAACCCCACCCTACCTCAATTTCATCGACTTCGAAAAGGCATTTGACAGACAGCGTTGAACGAGAACTAATTTGGAAACTGCTTCAGCACCATGTAGTGCAGTGCCTAGATCTTTATCAAACACAATCAGTAGCCATATGACAATGTCAAATATCAGGTGATCCACAACGGAGTCTTCTGAACACCTTGAGCAGCAATCTTCGTATGTTTGGCATGCGATTCGCCCCTGTAAAATGTAAGATGATGTTGGACTACACCGACCACTAGATTAGAAATAGGAAGTGAAGTGGTAGAGCACGCTGACCGCTTCATTTACTTGGGAAGTACCATCAGCCAACGCCAACGGATTGATCTCTGACGAAATCTCACCACGAATACAGAGGGCTAGTTTCGCATATGCCAGTTTACGCCGTATCTGGCGTAGACGCAATATCCAACTATCGACCAAAGGGCGTGTGTACTGCTCATCAGTCCGCTCCGTCCTCCTTAATGGCTGTGAGTGAGACCTGGCCATTGAGAGTGGAAGACATAAAAAGCCTGGCTAACTGCCTTCGATCAAAGGTGCCTGCGTTCCATCTCCCGCGTGAAATGGTATAATAAGGTGAGCAATAGTGAGGTTAGGCGTCAAGGTAAGGAGGGGAAATCAGTCGACGAGACTGTGAAATTACATCGACTGAGACGGTTAGGACATGTGTTACGTATGCCTAGTCATCGCCTTTCTTGACAATGGGCAATTTTAGTTGATATAGGGTCAGGTTAGAAAAGAGATAGCGGCGGTCAAACCAAAACATGGCACCAGTCGATGAAATCTACAACAGTTAGTCTAAGCCACGTAGGAAGGTGTAGACTTCCTGACTGGTTGGGGTCCTCGGGACGGTAAAAGCCAATGGTTGGAAACAATTGGTGACATGGCTCAAAGTGATCGTTCTCAATGGCTGGTGCAGATGCATTCACTCCTTGTGACTTATGATTTCCAATTAAACTGTTTTGTTCTTCGGTGTTACAACACCTTTGTCCCACACCTCTGTTTACTGTCTATATTATGCATTTCTGCTACTTTCTTCTCTCGGTTTGTGTGCCACATGGAGTGTGACGACTTGAACTGCCACACATATGTGCAGATTCCTATGTCGAAAACAGACAGAGAGGCAGACAACGGAAAACTCAGTGAAGCATTCGAAGTGAATACAGGAGTAACAAAAGGCTTCTCTCTACTATCATCGATTACTATTATTATTATTGTGTTACTGTTCCCCTGGGTTCCAAGTGGAACATAGGACTTCAGCCTGAGCACATCTCCACTTTGTTCTATCCTCTTCAGCCAGCTAGCTCCATGATTGCCCATAATCTCTCATCTCCTCCATGTCACCCTCGCAATGACGACCCACTCGTCGCTTCCCATATGGATTCCATTCGAGACATAGCCTGCTCTGCGCGCGATGTCATTCGATGGCCTCCTCAGTGGCGTATGCCCGATCAATCCATCTCGATTTTCTCCCACATATCCACTTGTTGAGCAAACGGCTTTTGATTGGTTTTTCGCCAGCCATCCAGAGTTTCTTGTTGCTAATTCTTTCTGGCCGACTGGTCGGCCATTTGATCTTCAATATGGAGCCAGTGAAGCTGGGAGCTGTTGGAAATCCCTTTCGGGACACTTAGTGCAAGTTTCTGACCCGTATAGCAGAGTTGACTGAATGAATTCACATTTGTGTTGAAATACGTATCTCTTTCATTATGCTGAGCACTGTGCAGAAGATTTCCAAGCTGGTTTCAGGTTGATGAAGGCGTATCTTGCCTTTCCAATTCTAGTTGTCTGGCTTTGACATCTTCTCTTCCCCCTGTGGTTGAAACCGTGCTTTCTGGCCAGGTAAGTGAAGTAAGTAGCCTCTGTTACATCTCTCCCACTGATGGTGACTGGTGCTGGTTGTTGTTGTTGGTGTTGCTGTTGATTGATTGGTTGGTTATCTTCATCACCTCCGTCTTCTCTATGTTCCCCTGCAGTCCTTTCTTCGCTACTTGTCTGCTTCTTCCGCCAGTTTTGTTGTTTTTCGCCTGCAAGGCTTTGAGGTTTTGTGACACTAGAGATATATTATCCCTGGAGACAAAACACGTAGTTCAGCGAAGAGTTATTGTTTTCATTAATGCCTGGATGGGGATTATCCATGAATATATCATCCAGGTCATGTCGACGGCAAGTAAAATTCTGAGTTGCATAATCCTGGAGAGGATAAACGACGCACTGGATGCAGAATTTCGACCAGAACAAGCTGGATTCAGGAAAGGTAAATCATGTTCTGACCAAATTGCAACTCTACGCATTATCATCGAACAAAGCATGGAATGGCAATCAAATCTCTACCTCAACTTTATAGACTTTGAGAAGGCCTTCGACAGCGTTGGCCGTGAAGTAATTTGGAAACTACTCGAGTACTACGGCGTACCCCAAATATTCATCAACCTTATTCAACAGCTGTACGACAACGGTACATGTCAAGTGATCCACAACGGAAAACTCAGCGAAGCGTTTGGAGTAAACACAGGAGTCAGACAAGGGTGCTTATTATCACCAATGATATTCCTAAGTGTGGTGGACTGGATTATGCGTCAAACAGTGGGAAACGAGAAGACAGGGATATCCTGGACCGACGTGAGGAACCTAGAAGGCCTGCATTTCGCGGATGATTTATGTTTGATGTCACTTAAAATCGAAGACTTCCAAGCGAAAACCGACAAACTGGTCGACGAAGGAGCAAAGACAGGACTCCAAGTGAACATAGACAAGACGGAGGTTATGAAAATAACCAACCAACAACAACAGCAGCAGCAACATCCAGCGCCAATCACCATCAACGGGAGGGATTTGAAAGAGGTTACTTCATTCACTTATCTAGGGAGCATTGTCTCAACCACAGGAGGGACGGACGAGGATGTCAAATCGAGAATCGGGAAGGCGAGAAACACATTCATCAACCTGAAACCAATCTGGAAATCTTCCTCACTCAGCATCAACAACAAAATGATTTGGATTTTCAATACAAACGTCAAGTCAGTCAGTTCTTATATACGTACGGATCAGAAACTTGGCGGGTCACAAAGAATATTTCCAACAGCCTGTTGTAGACCTTTATCAACAACAGCTGTCTTCGTTCTATACTCAAGATCAGATGGCCAGAAAGAATCACCAGCAAGAAAGTATGGGAACAAACAAAGCAAGAACCAATCGCCCAACAAATATGCAGGAGAAAGTGGAGATGGATTGGACACTCGCTGAGGAGGCCGCTGCGGGGTGACATCGGGCGTCAGGCCAATGCTCGAGTGGAACCCGAAAGGGAAGCGGTGAGTGGGACGTCCAAGGGTGACATGGAGGAGCTGAAACAGATGAACTAACATGGATGCAGGTGAAAAGTACAACAGAAGACAGAAACAAGTGGAGACGTGCAGTTGAAGCCCTATGTTCCACTAGGAACCCAAGGGAACAATAATTATAATGATGATTATATTAATATCATCCACCCACGAAATCCAGAACTTGTAGAGTCTTCTTATCTATGGTGACTTCCACATTTTCATACGATTGCAAGTCCATTGTTTAGATAATTATACAGTTTTTTAGGAGAACCGAACACACTCATTTCAACCTGTTAAAAGACCAGAACAGCATGTTATGTCATCCTGTGTAGTCACCTCTCGAGAGGTCCTTTTCCCCCAATGGAATACGTTTACCTAAATGCTGAGTAGAGGAAAAATCATGATAGTTTGTGCTGTCTATTGAACACTCTGAATTTTTTAGTTTTCTTTGTAATTTAAATTTCGGTTATATGCCCTTTTTTTCGACATTAGGACAGACTACTATGCTGATGTTTGTTGAAGGCCTGTTCATACCTGTTAAGCCAATCAGTTCATCATCATCGGCGGAAAATCAACCGTATCATGCGCTGAATGGTAAAATTTCACCATGTGGACAATTCTACGTATCATTAAATGAAGGTATGTGCATACATGTATTGTATTATTGTATTAGCTAGTAAGACCTACTTATTGATGTGAATAGTACCTACCTACTCATATAAACTAATAAGTAGTATATAACACTATACATTTAAGCTTGCTTTCTTAATTACCGTCTATGACGTTCAAGTAGATCACATATTGAGATCTCAGTAATTTTGATTTTCAAAGGAAATTGTGTGGTGAATTTTTATCTCAAACCATATGAGTTATATCCAGTGTATTAGTGGTTCACCCAAGTAGCTAGTCAGATAGAATTCGTTTGCTTTGAAGCGATTCACTTCTCTGAACTCAGTATGACCTGTAATTGCATATTAGTTTGTTTATTAGATATATCACACACACACACAGTGAAACAGTATCATTCACTGGATGACAAAGTTTCGAACAAAATTCATCACTGTTCATAATCATTTCATCAATTATGATCACACGACTTCGAAACTTGAGTTTTATAGTTTCCTTTGTTTTCTCCTATTTGTCTTCATTGGGGTAGTAGAATTTTTCAGATATCTGGGTGGACAAGTGTTGAATCATTCCTGTTACACGTATTGCCTATCAGTTGATTCGATAAACAGTGAAAATAGGATTGGTGAAATGTTTAAATAATGGAGCACAAAAACTAAGTAGTACCAAGGGAAATCTAAGTCAGGAAGTGAGGCATATAAGAGAAGTTTTGAAACTTAATTAATAATTACCCTGATAAGTTAGTCAGAAAGTATGTAGGGAAATATAAAAATAAAATAAATAATGGTAGTAGTGATAGTGATAATAATAATATTAATGACGACATGCATGTCAAAAATGCACAGGATAATGACAACACTAACAATGAGGAATCTAAATCCTCAGTAGTAATTCCATACAAGGAAGGAACCCAGGAAACCTTACGCAGAATTCTTAACAAGGCTGGCATTCAAACCACCCACAAACTCAATTAGAAACAAGCTTTGTCGGTTAAAGCATCAATCCTGTGGAGCCACTTAAAACAATTTAGTTTATCTAATACTCTGCCTGCGATGATTGTCAGCTCAAATAACACAAAGGTCAAACTAGTAGAGCAGGAACAGTCAGACTAGCCGATCATAAAAACCTAACAAAATCTAGATTAGTTGACCCAAATAAGATAAAAAATCTGGAGAATAGTTCAGCTATAGCACTACATGCAGTTACACACAACTCTGCCAGGAAATAGGATGGGATAAGATGACAGTTTAAAATCTAATGTAACAGTGGGGTGGAGGGAGAGGTTGAGAACGTAGCCTTTTTTATCGAATAAAGTGCAAAAACATGTAATAGGAATGATTCAGTACCTATCCTGAAGGACGTCTGGAAAATTCTACTAACCCAACGACGACAAATAGGGGAGAACAAAGACAACTATAAAACTCAAGTTTCGAAGTTGTGAGATTATAATTGATGAAATGATCATGAACAATAAATAAATTTTGTTCGAAACTGTGTCATCCAGTAAATAATACCGTTTCACTGTGTGTGTGATATCTAATAAACAAACTAACATGGAATTACTTACTACCACAGTGCCTAAATTTTACAAGTATATCAGTATAACCTGACAAACCGCTGATGAGCATGGCCTGGAATTGCGATGTTAGTCTGCACCAAGCTGTTTCAAATCCCTTTCGTGGTACTCAGTGTAAGTTTCTGTTTCGTGTGGAAGAACTTCCCATTTGTGCTGAAAGGAATCCGAATCTTGTTGTTTATGCTAACTAACGGGTAGCAGAAGATTTCCAAACTGGTTCCAAGTTGATGAAGGCATATCTCTCCTTTCTGATTCTGGCTGTCTGACTTTTACATCTTCATCCGTGCTCTCCGACTGCCTGTGGTTGAAATCGTGCTTTCTGGCCAGATAAGTGAAGTAAGTAACCTCTGTCAAATATCTTCCGCTGATGGAGACTGGTGCCGGTTATTGTTGCTGTTGGATGGTTGGTTGGTTATCTTCATCACCTCCGTCTCCTCAATGTTCACCTGGAGTCATTTCTTCTCTGTTTATTCAGAGAAATATCCTGTAAACATTATCTAAAGCATTCCCATTGTTAATTTAAGACTTCAGTATTTCAATATACCAAAAATATTCATTCAGATATCTATAAAACACAAAATAATTGAGCAAAGAATATACTTTTCGATAATTTCCCCCTCTTCCAGCTCTACAATTATATATACATATGTTAATATACATAGAATATTCTAGAATAGTAGTCAATAACAATATTAGTGTTTTTTAAATAATATCGATTTGTAAAGTATGATCAATGCAATTACAGTTCATTAAAGATGCTTAAATAATAATAATAATAATAAAGATATAACAGCAAATAGAATATCAACTAAAATTAAGGAAATTTCTACAAAAAATTCAGGATCATTCAAACCTAGACGGCGAAGGTAAGGATAATGTCTGAACTAACTTCTTTTGGATGCACAAATCAGGCTTGTTAATATGGATCCCAACGGCCAGCCAGCCTCAACAATATTTAGTAGTCGAACTCTTAAGGCGAAATTGAGATTCGTTGGTTTGCGGTAAATGACCCTGAAAGCATGGTTAACGTTAACCTTGTGTTCTGTATTCACAAGATGAGATAGAATAGCACTGCGAATAGATTTTGTTTGTCCTTTACTTAACCAGCCATGCAGGGTGATATTTGGAAATCCGACAAGAAACACGCCTGGTTGTACGGCCTATGTAAATAGCTGCACGGGAGCAGTTAAAATGGTAGATACACATGGAAAAGGCGAAATTAGGCAGTTTATCTTCTACTCCCGAACGCAAGAGAGGAGTGATTTTGAAGAGACTGCGTAATTCAGCAGCAGGGAATTCTCTTCGCTTTACCGTATTTCTAAGGCGCTGCGTAAGTATCTCGCAGATGTTGTCCCCGTGGAACTGTATTTGTAGGAATAAGGCCTTTTTTGGAACTGTTGGTAACTTGGGCTGCTTTGATTTTAGATTCATATTCTTATCAATCAACTTTTCCCGATAACCATTTTCACTCAGCAACCGTTTAATATTATTGAGTTCCTCATCAAGACATTCATCCGAGCAGATTGCTCTTGCTCTGTGGAGCAAATATCAGATTGCGTTTGTATTTCAAAGGCACGAAGCTGAGAAATTGAGTATACTGACCTGTTTAAGTAGGTTTTCTATAAACACTTCTTCTTATTGTGCCATCCTCTTTTCTGGTCATAAGGACGTCTAGAAATGAAATACTTGATTCGTCTTCTTTCTCAATACTAAAATTTATTTCAGGATGAACCTCGTTAAATTTATCCAGGATGTTCTTTGCTTCCTACTCATTTTTCATAATCAAAAATGTATCATCCATGTACCGACAATAGAATTCAAGTTCATTAATAGCATCCTTCAAAGTCCCATTTTCTAGTTTCGCAAGGTAAATGTCGGCTAGATTGGGTCCTGGTGGTGACCCCATTGCCACACCATCGATTTGTCTATATAGTTCCTTATTAAATAAAAAGTGGGCATTCACCAATGTACCACTTCAGTATTTCATTAAAAGTTCATTGAATGAAAAATTTCTCTAATTCCGTACTATTTCAAAATTTTTAGATTCTATTAATTCTAAAGTTTGGTTAGAAGTCTATCGACTGCCAACTGATAGTTGGATGAAAGAACTTTCACCTATCATTCAAGAATTTCAGAATGCAAGAACAGCCACTCTTGATGATGAAGTCGGTCCTATAAAGGTGAGTAATGTCTTCTTTTACTACCCATCTAACTGCCAGTTATTACAGTGTTCATGCGTGGTTCAGTGATAGGATGAAGACGGACCACGTTCGGTATCCGGCCCACACATGACTAAATACCACCTAGTTTGGTTGCAGTATTTCATCATGAGCTGACATTGGTTAGAGAACCATTGGAAAACTAGCTGGGAGTACTGGACAGCTGTTTCGTCCTATTTTAGGACTCCTCATCAGTATGTATCCAATGGGTTGCGAGGCGAGCTTGCCTTGTAACCAGAAGGTCCTGGGTTCGAACCCCATTGGGTGAGTACTGAAGAGAGGTCCCAAACTAGGACGAAACAGCTGTCCAGTACTCCCTGCAGGTTTTCCAATGGTTCTCTAACCAGTGTCAGCTCATGATGAAATCCTGTAACCAATCAATCAAATCCCTACAAACCAGTACTTGAATATCGCCTAGTTTGCCGGTCAATAGGAAGGCAGTAAAGAGTAGGGAGATTCAGTGTGGGGTTAGTAATCGTACCCCTTAAAAATAACACCAGTGCTACTGGAACTCCAGTGTACAAAGCTCTATATTACACTAGGAAGACAATGAATGGAAGAAAAATCAGTCACTATACTGTTTAAAGGCTAAAGTAGATAATATTTTGCGGTTACGACGTAGTCCGGAGAAGTCAGCAATGGGTAACTACGGATAGGACGCAAAGAGTCAGAGTTAAAAGCATATTATGACCATGACACCTAGTGAAAAGTGGAGTGTCTGAAGATAGAATTCTAATTCCTTCTCTTCTCTTTCCTTCATTTATAAAAGTGAAGTACCACTGATAGATAAACCATACTGTGTAATGTTCAAAGTTGACGTTAATTTCTGGAAGGTTTTATGCAATGATGATAAGTGACTTTCTTTGTAAGAAGAACTAGATCTACTGGTCGAATAGTGTAGTCATTATGATTATTCTGAGGGAGGTCGGTTTCCACTGCATAAGAACCCTTGTTGCTATTGATGAAATCGTGATAGCCACTTCCTCAGTGTGTTCCCGGTTGTTGTCTGAGTGACCAGAGTAGATTAATGGCACGCCAGTTAACGACTTGGAGAGTTCAATTCCATTCAATCAGTTCATACGCACTCCTAGAACTCCTGCTCAGCAGTTCATCCAGTCCTCCTATATGGCTGTGAGACCTGGCCATTGAGAGTGGAAGAAATGAAAAAAACCGTCTAGATGTCTTTGTTAATAGGTGCCTGCGTTCTGTCTCCCGTATGAAGTGGTATAGTAGAGTGACCAATATTGAGGTTAGGCACGAATTCTAGGTAAGGAGTGGAAATCAGTAGACGAGGTTGTGAAGTTACACCGATTGAGAGAGATGGTTAAGACATGTGTTACGCATGCCTAGCTAATGCCTTCCTTGACAATGGGCAATGTTAGCTGAAATAGAGTCAGGTTGGAAAAGAGTTAGCTAGTAGTGGTCAAACGAAAAGATAGCTTCATCAGTCAATGAAATCCACAACAGTTAGTTTAAGCCACGTACGAAGGTGTTGACTTCCTGTATGGAGTCCTCGGGACGGTAAACGCCAATGGCTGGAGACAATCGGTGGTGGTATGGCTCAAAGTGATCGTTCTCAATGGCTGGCTTAGATGCATCCCCTCCTTGTGACTTACAGTACGCAATAAAACAATACGGTTCTTCCACACTACTGTTCTTTTTGCCTCGGATCTCTCTTTTGAATCTCTTTTTACTTTCTTCTTTTGCTTTGTGTGCTACAAGGAGGGAGTGTGGCGAGTTGAACTGCTGCACATCTGTGCAAAGTTCTATATTGAAACCGGTCAGTCAGTCGGCGCACCATATCTTCTCATCACTTTTGCAGTCTGAGCAGCCTTCTCAAATTCGAACATTGTGTGGACATTCTGTGTCCCTATGCTTAATTTTGTTTTCATAGAAATGAGACACATCGGTCGACTGGCGCATCTCCATTAAGTACGCTTCTCTGAAGTCCTTAAAAGCTGGCTCCACGATCGCCTATGGGCTTTTGTCCCCTGTTTATACGATATCCTCTATGTTATCCTTGGAACCATGCCTGAAGTCGTCGCTTTTCGTTCGGATTCCACTCAAAGGCCTGCACGATGTCACTCAGTGGCCTCCTCAGCATGCGTCCAGTCCATCTCCACTCCCTTTTATATACTCATTGGTCAACAGATTCTTAGTTGGTTAGTTGCCAAAATTCCTTGATGCTTATCCCTTTTGGACATGTGATCTTCAGCATATTTTATCATTATTATTCCCTTGGGTTCCGAGTGGAACATAGGGCTTCAACCTGAGTACATCTCCACTTTGTTCTATTTTCTGCCATAATCTTCAGCTGGGTTCACGATTGCTCAAACTCTCTCATCTCTTCCTCACACGATCTTCTCTGTGTCACCCTCGCAATGACGACCCACTCGTCGCTTCCCGTTGGAGTTCCACTCCAGCAATGGCATGCACTGAGCGTGACGTCATTCGATGGTCTCCTCAATGTATACCTGATCAATCTATCTCCATTTTCTCCTAAATACTTGTTGAGCAATCGGCTCTTGGTTCGTTTCTTTCCAGCCGCAGTATCTTGTTACCAGTTCTTTTTGGATACTTGATGTTCATTATGGAGACAGCCAGAGGGGAGTGCAGCTGTTGATGTTGGTCTGCAACCTGTTGGAAATCCCTTTCGTGACACGCGTATCAAGTTTCCAACCCGTATAGAAGGATCGACTTCACAGTGGTGTTGAAAATCCGAATCTTGTTCATTATGTTGAGTGAGTGAAGCAGAAGATTTGCAAATTGGTTTCAAGTTGATGAAGGCGTATATTGCCCTTCCGATTCTGGCTGACTGGCTTTGACATCTTCATCCGTTCCGACTGCCTGTGTCTGAAACGATGCTTCCTAGATAAGTGAAGTAAGTAAACTGTGTTAAATCTCTACCGCTGATGGTGACTGGTGCTGGTTGCTGTTGTTGTTGTGGTTCGTTGTTTATCTTCATCAACTCTGTCTCCTCTATGGTCACTGGCAGTGCTGTCTTTGATGCCAGCCTCTTCTGCCAGTTTGTTGGTTTTCGCCAGTAAGTATTTGAGTTTGTGTGTGTGACATTAGTCATATATCGTCTGAGAAATCCAGATCTTCTAGAGTCTTTTTATCGGTGATCCAGGGTATTCCTGACTCCTCGCTCCCTGTGCGCAGTCTTCCAAATAATCCAGTCCACCACAATTAAGAATATCATCGTCGGTTATAACAGGCAGCCTCAGCATATTTTAGCAGTTACTTTCTTTCTTGCTTTAAATGTAATCGTGTTTTCACAAATATTTCATTCTACAGATCAAATCTTCTCAAATTTCTATTTTATTTTAGGAAATGACTGTTAATTTAAATGAACGTAAAGCTTATTATGAAAGTCATCTACAACTTAGTTCACCTATACTAACCGGGAGAATTAGATATCCAAATTTACCGTCAGGTAAGTCACTCTAACGCTTCTGGACCTTTGTCATTTTTCAAGTGAATGTGGAGACATCTTTTGGGTTTAATTTCCAAAAGTTTAAAACGATTAGTCACCTTTATGAATTTCAACAACACAATAAGAAGACGTAGTTTATCTGAAATGTGTAATGCTGTATTTGCACAACACATTCCGGACATTCTGATCACACACGTAATTACCAGTGTCCCTATCTTATTTAAAAGAGTTACTGCTTCTATGTGCTAAAAATGTTAAGTCTACACTTCAGGGGGAGCATTTTTTCCCAGATCGATGGTGTAGCTATGGGAAGTCCCCTAGGTTCATTGTTAGCTGATATATATATATATGTCGCATTTTAAGAACCTAGCGGAGGATGTAATTTGAAAAGTTTGTTTTTATAAGAGATATTTAGATGACATAATAGTCATATATGATAAACTGACAGACACCATAGAAATCTTTAACCAGATCAATAGAGTACAAAACAGCATATTACTAACATACGTTAATGAGAATAATGATTACTTTCCATTTTTAGATGTACTCATAATCCGCCACCGATAAGATGGGTCAGTAAAATGATCTGTCTACAGAAAGTCCACATGGACGGGACAGTATCCAAATTATTATAGTTTCTGTCCACCACAGTATAAAAAGACGTTGGTTAAGTGTTTATTCAAACGCATTCACCGTATATGTACTGCCGATACAATTGAAGAAGAAAGACAACACCTCACTGAAATATTGTTAGATAACAATTGTCCCCTGAGACTCATTAGGCGTTGCGAAATTGTCAACTAAAGAGCTCTCTCGATCCAATCAGCTCCCAAAAAGGATGTTTATATATCCTTACCGTTCAGGGGTGATCAACAAAGTCTGGTCACTAGACAAAGACTAAAAGCCGCAATTAATAGAACCTATTATGCAGCTAAACTTATCTTCGTAGAGAAAACGAGGACTACGCTGTTCTGTAAACCCTCACAGTATCCAAACGATAGTGTCACATCCCATTGTGATTACTAATTTACATGTATATGTGGACACACGTACATAGGGCGGACCCATCGATCTCCGCAGGTTAGGGCTACAGAACATATTCCAAAGTGACTGCAACAACAAATGAAATCGCCAGATACAATTGATCCCGGAAATAGATATCCAACATCATCTATAGCGAAGCACATTATAGAGACGAGTTATAAGGTTGATTTCGACAATGCATTTAAGCCCATATATGAAACAAGATTGGGTCACATATTTAAATTCGTTGAAGCCTTAGCCATAAAAAGACCTGAACCTGTCTTATATGTCCAAAAGTTATTTGTTATAACTTCAAGCCTGCCTTGGTAATCCAATTTAGAACCAAGGACCAATTTACTTCATAATATTTTCAACCCCTTCTTCGCTTTGCTTTTTTCTCTTTCTTACCCATACCTTTGTGTCATCTCCCTACCCATTATCTTGACCTTAACCCAAACACAATCTGACATGTATTGTTATGATTCATGCCTTCTTGCCTTCTGTATAACTGTGTATGACAAGTATTCGTGTGTGATCAGAATATCCGAAATGTGTTGTGTAAATACAGCATTACACGTTTCAGATAAACTACGTCTTCTTATTGTGTTGTCGAAATTCCAAGAGTTTGTTTGTGTAAGGATTTGATTTGTTATTTCAAGTTTGATCACGGATTGACGTCTGTTAGAGGACCATTGAAAAACCGGAATGGATCACTGGACAGCCAACTGTTTTATCCTACTTTGGGAATCATTGGCAGTACTCACCATCTGCCAGGGTTAGAACCCAGGACCTTGTAGTTACAAGGGAAGCTTGTGGACTACTCAGCCATTGAGCCTCGGTCCAATGAACAGCCCAATGAATTCTGACTTCTACCGATTCGTGATCTCAACGCTACCACCAGACAATGTCATCTCCGCTGCCAACCGGGTGGACCTCACTGGTCATGACTTCTCACTAGAACTCTAGGTAACTTCATCCTGAAGCCAGTCACTAGCGTGTATTAGGTTAATTTTTTTGTAGGGATTTCATTTTATTACTTAAGTATCGTGAGCAGTTTATGACGTATTTTTATAATTGAAAATGTAAATGCAAATAATGAAAATTACATTGGCTAGGTATATAAAAGGATCAATTAAAGTATTGAAACATGCTTCCATTATGGATAAAAATCTTACAGTGTTATACAGTAATATTTACTGATGACGTTTCGAGCACAATTTATTGCTCATAATCATATCAAGGTAATCACACGACTTCCTAAATTCATTTATATAGTTCCATTATTTTTCACTTGATTTCCACTTGATTTGATTGGTAGTGTTATTTTCCATATTTCGGGTATTAGTGATGATTCATTCCTATTGCACGTGTTGGGTGTAGATTCGATGAACAAAGATTCAGTAATCAACGTCTCTCTCCACCTACCTAGATTACTTTTTAGGATTTTAACCCTCTCCCACCCTATTGTGTGGTTGTGTGTTAATGCATGCATTGCAATTGCCGAGCTTTTTTCTAAATTACTTATCTTCTCTGGGTCAACCATTCTTACCTTAGCTAAATTCTTATGTTCTGACAATCTGACTACCCCTGACCTACTAGTTTGACCTATGTAGTTGACCTCACAGTCATTACAGGGTTAAAATTCTAAAAAGTACTCTAGGTAGGTGGAGAGAGAGGTTGATTACTGAATCCTTGTTCATCGAATCTACACCCAACACGTGCAATAGGAATGAATCATCACTAATACCCGAAATATGGAAAATATTACTACCAATCAAATCAAGTGAAAATCAAGTGAAAAACAATGGAACTATATGAATGAATTTAGGAAGTCGTGTGATTACCTCGATATGATTATGAGCAATAAATTGTGCTCGAAACGTCATCAGTGAATATTACTGTATAACACTGTGAGACTTTATCAAAATAAAAAATTTACCCATAATGGAATTACACTCTACCACATTGCCCAAGTTTTATTCTTATATCAATAAAAATCTTACTTTGATAAAGTCACACAGTGTAGTAGTGTGGTGGTGGGATACAGACAAAGTGTGGTAACGAAATGTTATTCTCACATATTCCTACAGTTCAATTCGACATTAGCAACAGAATACTATGTGTATTTGAACATTGTATTTCATGTCGTTTGATGAAAACCGAAATCGTAAGCTTAGTGATCTGTTAACGAATAAAAACTGTATATATACAAACAGCGGTTTGATTAATGGAAAATATACTATGTCTTCCATGTCTTGTCTTCTGTTGTTACAGTAGTAATGAGATTATCACACCACCAGAATTTAGCTATGGTTAGAATGGTTGACTCCACGAAGCTAAGTAATTTAGAAAGAGGAAATCAGCAATAGCATTGCATGCATTAACACACAACTACACAATAGGGTGGGTGGGACAGAGTTAAAATTCTGAAAAGTACTATAGGTAGGTGGAGAGAGGTGGTTGATTACTGAATCCTGGTTCATCGAATAATCGACACCCAACACATACAATAGAAGTGACTGAAGACAAATACCAGAGATACGGAAGACATTACGACTCAAAACAGAGGATAATAAATAATGTTAAAATGTATTTCAATTCACATTATAACTAGTTATTTATTATAAAGACCTCTTATTTCCCTTCTTATTGTATTTTATTGATGACACTAATATTATTATTTCTGAATGTACATTATCTTATATTGATTTTATTCAAATATTTAATCAAGTTTTACTCATGTATATAAATGAAGCAAGAAAGTTGTGTGAGTAGTGTCTTGAAATGATTATAAGCAGTGATAAATTGTGTTCGAAACGTGGTTATCAGTAAATATTACTTACAGTATCAAAATAAAATTTTATCCATAATGGAATTAAACTTCACCACTACAGTGTCCAAGTCTTATCCTTATATCAACAATATTGAAATATAGATAGGTGGCGAGAGAGAGAGGGGTTAATCACTGAATCTTCGTCCATCGAATCAACACCAAGCATGTGCCGTCCATATGGTGCAACACCTATACTGGAAAATATGGAAAGTGGCAACAAATAACAAGGGGAACAGAGAGACAGAGGGAGGAAAATGCATATTTAAAGCAAATCATGAGGCTGAGTGACTAAACTGATATGAGTATGAGTAGCAATCATTTCTGCTCGAAACCTTATCATCCAGTTATTAATACTGCATCATCAATGAGTGTGATATTTGAAATAAACTTATCTAATTTAGAATCATCGATATTGTGATTTCACCTTGCTTCTGATGCAAATGATTTGTGACAGTGATAGCTGTCTCACAGATCTTTGAGGAAAGAATTCACCAAAACAAAACTCCACATGAATTCATATGAAAGAAGAGGTGTTCAACGAAATGACACTCTCTCTCGCAATATAATTCTAGGCTAAGTAATTCCTCTGTAATGAAACAGAAACTAGAGGATATTCAGTTAGAAAAAGATGAAAAAATGGTTAGTTTTGAAATAACCAGTCTATATACTACTATTCCCATTAATACAGTTCAAGAGGCAGTTGAGATTTTACAATTATGATGTTGACATGCATCTCCTTCTCACTCGGCGCCCAATTGTTTTGGAACTACTGGGTCAAATCATTGTCACAGTTCCCATGAAGGTTTTTAGCATTTACATGCAAACTACTTAATAAATGAAAAGAAGGTGTTCAGCGAAGAGACTGTTTTCGGCAAATTCATTCACTGAGCTGTACAATCGCATATTTATACAATTTTGTTTGTGTGTGTACATTAGATTTATAAAATTTAGGTAACTATGTAATGTAAGTATTTTTGGCTTGGAGACAAACGTTAAGATGGAAAATAAAATAGAATTGATTAAGTGAGTTGGATGACGTAACACAGTTGAGTAGAATTCAGATTAGGTCAGGTTGGCAACAATGTTAATGAGGGTAGAGATTACAAAAGGGTGGGGTAGAGAATAATATAAATGAAGATGTGAAATAATAAAATGCAAAAGACAAAATAATACAATTAGTAAGATTGAAATTAAGAAAGATGACGACTGACGTTCTCCACGAGACCAATGATTCGTATGAACTTGAAGGATAAGCTACCGCTGTTGGCCTCATCTATGCGCATCTACCAATTCACCTGCTGGTATGGAGCCAGGTATATCGGCCGTAATCAGCGTTCGCTATCCAAACGCGTCAACGAACATTTACCTTCATGGTTTTATAAAGGAGAAAAACGATGCCCCCGCTGCTCGATCCTTGAACATTTGATCGACTCTGGACACCAAGTCAAACCAGAAATAAACTTCAAAGTTATCTACAGAATACAAGGCAATCTTGCTAAAAGTGTACAGATCAAACTTCTCCACATCGCAGAAGCAATGGCAATTCATCTGCTAAATCCTGAACTCTGCATACAAAAGAAATTCGTTCGTTCATTAAATCTACAATGGACGTAATCTTTCTTAATTTCAATCTTACTAATTGTATTATTTTGTCTTTTGCATTTTATTATTTCACATCTTCATTTATATTATTCTCTACCCCACCCTTTTGTAATCTCTACCCTCATTAACATTGTTGCCAACCTGACCTAATCTGAATTCTACTCAACTGTGTTACGTCATCCAACTCACTTAATCAATTCTATTTTATTTTCCATCTTAACGTTTGTCTCCAAGCCAAAAATACTTACATTACATAATTACCTAAATTTTATAAATCTAATGTACACACACAAACAAAATTGTATAAATATGCGATTGTACAGCTCAGTGAATGAATTTGCCGAAAACAGTCTCTTCGCTGAACACCTTTTCTTTTATATGACTGAATGGGGATTTTCAAGTTACTTAATAAATAAAAGTAGCTTATTACTGACAATTGTTTTTTCAATTTATATATATATATTTTATGTTCAGGTCCAGCATGCAAATCGATAGCAGCTGCACTGAAACAAGTCAATGAAAAGACTGGTCTTCTTAATTATTCAAATTTCGCTACTCATTTATACACTGATGCAATTTCTGAAGCAAATCAGCTAGCGTTTATTGAGCATAGAAAGTATCCATCGTGTTTGATAAATCCACCTAAAGCTCAAGTAGTCGAAACAGAAGAAGAAGGAACTAATGTGATTACTACTCAAGGAGCTGTGAATAGTCTTGAGCTTGCCAAACGTAAGTATTCTAATCATAATGCCTTCACTAAATTTATCGCAGAAAAAAAGATTTTCGTTTGGTTGACTTATGCTGATTTTTCCGTAGTCGTGTTTAAGGTTAGTTTCCATGCAATGCTAATTTTTTCTGGCCATCTGAGGTCATGGAGATCGCTTAGGATCGATAAAAGCCTATTAATACCTTATAGTGACAGTAGTGTCACCTTTCACTGGGTAAATCATCCTTTCAATATTTGGTTCGTAAGGATTAGATTTGTTTATACGAGTTTGACCACGGATTGATATCAGCTAGAGAACCATTGAGAACCAACCACAGGGAGTACTGGACAGCCGTTTCATTCTATAATAGGATTCATCGGCAGTACGCACCCACTGCCAGCATTTGAACCCACGACTTTCCGGTTACAAGGCAAGTTCGTATACCATTCAGCCATTGCTGCGACCGGATTCAGTGGCAAGTCCTTGAATTCTAACTTCTACCAATTCATGATTTAGCGCGATTGGCACCACTCAATGTCATCGGTGGGAAATCCATCCTCACACTTGACTGGATGGACCCGACTGGTTACGACTTCTCACTAGAACTGCAGGAAACTCCGCCCTATAGCAAGGCCTTAGAAACCAACTCTTGAAAACTAATATGATGTTCACTAGTGATATGATACAGGACGGAGTTTCCTGGAGTTAGTTCTAGTGAGAAGTCATGACCAGTGAGGTTCATCCAGTCAAGTGTGAGGATGGATGTCACACTGATGACGTGGGTCGGTGCCAGTCGCGCTAAATCACGAATTGGTAGAAGTTAGAATTCATGGAGTGGCCATTGAGGAGTCGGGTCCCAGTAGTGGCTGAGTAGTAGACGAGCTTGCCTTGTAACCGGAAGGTCGTGGGTTCGAATCCCAGTCAGTGGGTACGCATTGCCGATGATTCGCAGTCTAGGATGAAATAGCTGTCTGTCCAGTACTCCCTGTGTTTGGTTTCCAATGGTTCCCTAACTGATATCAATCCGTGATCACCTCGTAAAAATAATCATCTTTGTTTCTTCCATCTGATATCACACACCCTACGTCGTTTAACTGAATGATATTGATTTTTTCGTTTACTTTCCTATTACCCTCACTTTATTGTGATGATACGAGGCACGGAAGCTCTGAGTATTGTCCAGTAATGATATATTTTATGTTGACAGTGTATATCCTTGTATATAGAAGTGATTTCAAGAGACTGCAAATTAAAACACCGGAAAAAAGCAAAGTTTTATTGTGCAGTGATGAGCGGTTCACAGAATTTTGGATAATTTTTCGGAAACACTCCTATGTCATGCTTCAGTGGTTAGATGATAGAATGCTCACCACTCTTGTGGGAGGTTCGGGTTCGATTGCCGGACGATGCACTCCCAAACCCCCACCCACCAATAGCTGCTACCATGATGTGGTAGTGGGGCTTGCATATCTCAGTGACCCAACGAGATACACTAACTAGAACTAACAAGTCATAGAGGTCGTCTAGTTTTTAGACTAAAATAATTACCGTCATAGGGGAAGTTGTTCACAATATGTTGGGGGGGGGGGGTCTGTGGGTGAAGTCGTGCTGTTGGGAAGTAGGGATATGACAACACTGAGGTGTTTCACTTAAACGATCAGCATGACAACTGTACTACTTCTCCACTCTGGAAAGGTAAAGGGTATAGAAAATGTCGAGCCCGAAAGCTATACATCGCAACGTACCACCTTGCAGTTTCCCATAGCCGGTGAAAAGATTTTAATTCTTTAAAATCATTCCTAACCCTTGCCTAGTAGGTAGCAAATCTTGAGAATAGGGAAGTTTTGTGTAAAGGTAGCAGTCTCATTCTTTTAAGGCACTGAGTCCCAATCCAATGGCCCATGAATTCTAAATTCTGCCAACTGCTGGGCTATTGGATCGGGTCCCAGTGGCCTAATGGTCTACGAGCTCGCCTTGTCACCAGAAGGTCTTGGGTTCGAACGCTGACAGTGGGTGCATACTGACGATGATTCCCAAACTAGGATGAAACAGGTGGCTGTCCAGTACTCCCTGAGGCTGGCTTTCAATGGTTCTCTAACTGATCTTCAAATATTCCCATTTAAAATATTAGAACAAGACATATAAGCGAACAATATTGTTTTCAATTAGATCTTCTTCAGGCTTTACTCTAATTTACATAGATTTATATATAAAATTTTAACCAATGACGGTGATTTTGGGAATCAAATAATAATCTTAATAGTCTTAATAATAATCATAATAATAATAATAATGTGGTAAATGTTTTGAACATAGTTAATAACGATGATTATAATGATAACAAAATATTGATAATAAGGCTTATGCAGATGATAAGAATAACAAAGATAGTATATGTATATAAGTGTATAAATAAATTGGGTCAAATCTTAAAAGGTGAAGTGGAACGATAATCAGAGTTTAAATAAATATTATAAAAGTACAAAGGAGGTGGAAAATAAGAAAGGGTGGGAGGGTTTTGAATACAGTTCACCTAGGCCAAGGGAGAGACAAAGGTAGAACAAACTTCTTTTGTATGCAAAGACTAGGATTGTTCTCTCGAATTCCCATAGCTTCGGCTAGGTGTAAAAGACGGTTTCTGATTCCATTAGAAAGACTCGATGGAATACGATAGATAACTTTGAAAGCACTATTTTTGTCCACTTGGTGACCACTATCAATCAAATGAGCCAAAATAGAACTTCGTATGGATTTTATTTGACCTTTTCCGAACCATGAAGGAAGATGCTCATTAATGCGTTTGTTCAGCTGTCTAGTCGTTCGCCCTATATAGCTTTCTCCACAGGAGCAACTAAATTTATAGATACACATTGAAGTGGCACAACTAGGTAGCTTATCTTTCACTTGAGCAATCAAAATTGGTCGGCTGGAAAATGACAAACATAGGGTGGCGGCAGTATAAGTCCGTTTTATCGCTCTCGATAATCTCTGATGTAAGACTTCACTAGCCACGTCCCCATTAAATTGAAGTTTCATGAACAGTTCTTTCTTTTTAACTGTTGTCAGTTTTTCTTTGTTGTACCTGGTATTCATGTGTCTCCTAACAAATCTACTAGGAAAACCCATTTGGACCAGCGTATTTTGAATGTATCCTAGCTCATTTTCTAGGGAATCATCTGTACAGATACGTCTTGCTCTATTCGTAAGGCATCTGACCAAATTGATTTTATATCGAATTGGTACAAAACTGAGGAAATGTGTATATTGTCCTACAGATGTAGGTTTTCTATAGACATCTCTCTTGAGTGGACCATCCTCTCTTCTGCTCAATTGGACGTCAAGGAAATGTAATCCACCATCATGTTCTTCTTCACAAGTGAAGATGAGCGATGGATGTGCATCATTAAACTTTTTTAACATTTCATTCTTGTCAGTTTTCACATCAAGAATAATGAACGTATCATCAACATAACGAAAATAAGAACCAGTTTCCTCTATTACTTGTCTCAATGGACCATTTTCAATCTTGGCTAGAAAGAAATCTGCCAAAATTGGCCCCAATGGAGAACCCATGGCAATACCGTCGATTTGCCTTTAGTAAAGGTTGTTGAATAAGAAGTGTACATTCATAGTACATCTTAAAAGCAACTCTTTCAGACTAATAACTGGAATTCCGATGTCAATCTGCTTTTCTAGTATCTGCTGGCATATGAAATCCACAGTCTCCATAAGTGGTACATTGGTAAACAGTGACGCTACATCTAAGGAAAGCATTTGCTTCCCATTTACATTGATATCATTCACGTTAGCAATAAATTCGAAAACGTCTTTAACATTATGGTTTACTACCAATTTGTGTAGCGGTCCTGGATATGTCAAATTCTACTTACCATGGAGTGGCAAAATGGCTAGGTGAACTCCTCCAACCGCTACACAAATTGGTAGTAAACCATAATGTTAAAGACGTTTTCGAATTTATTGCTAACGTGAATGATATCAATGTAAATGGGAAGCAAATGCTTTCCTTAGATGTAGCGTCACTGTTTACCAATGTACCACTTATGGAGACTGTGGATTTCATATGCCAGCAGATACTAGAAAAGCAGATTGACATCGGAATTCCAGTTATTAGTCTGAAAGAGTTGCTTTTAAGATGTACTATGAATGTACACTTCTTATTCAACAACCTTTACTAAAGGCAAATCGACGGTATTGCCATGGGTTCTCCATTGGGGCCAATTTTGGCAGATTTCTTTCTAGCCAAGATTGAAAATGGTCCATTGAGACAAGTAATAGAGGAAACTGGTTCTTATTTTCGTTATGTTGATGATACGTTCATTATTCTTGATGTGAAAACTGACAAGAATGAAATGTTAAAAAAGTTTAATGATGCACATCCATCGCTCATCTTCACTTGTGAAGAAGAACATGATGGTGGATTACATTTCCTTGACGTCCAATTGAGCAGAAGAGAGGATGGTTCACTCAAGAGAGATGTCTATAGAAAACCTACATCTGTAGGACAATATACACATTTCCTCAGTTTTGTACCAATTCGATATAAAATCAATTTGGTCAGATGCCTTACGAATAGAGCAAGACGTATCTGTACAGATGATTCCCTAGAAAATGAGCTAGGATACATTCAAAATACGCTGGTCCAAATGGGTTTTCCTAGTAGATTTGTTAGGAGACACATGAATACCAGGTACAACAAAGAAAAACTGACAACAGTTAAAAAGAAAGAACTGTTCATGAAACTTCAATTTAATGGGGACGTGGCTAGTGAAGTCTTACATCAGAGATTATCGAGAGCGATAAAACGGACTTATACTGCCGCCACCCTATGTTTGTCATTTTCCAGCCGACCAATTTTGATTGCTCAAGTGAAAGATAAGCTACCTAGTTGTGCCACTTCAATGTGTATCTATAAATTTAGTTGCTCCTGTGGAGAAAGCTATATAGGGCGAACGACTAGACAGCTGAACAAACGCATTAATGAGCATCTTCCTTCATGGTTCGGAAAAGGTCAAATAAAATCCATACGAAGTTCTATTTTGGCTCATTTGATTGATAGTGGTCACCAAGTGGACAAAAATAGTGCTTTCAAAGTTATCTATCGTATTCCATCGAGTCTTTCTAATGGAATCAGAAACCGTCTTTTACACCTAGCCGAAGCTATGGGAATTCGAGAGAACAATCCTAGTCTTTGCATACAAAAGAAGTTTGTTCTACCTTTGTCTCTCCCTTGGCCTAGGTGAACTGTATTCAAAACCCTCCCACCCTTTCTTATTTTCCACCTCCTTTGTACTTTTATAATATTTATTTAAACTCTGATTATCGTTCCACTTCACCTCTTAAGATTTGACCCAATTTATTTATACACTTATATACATATACTATCTTTGTTATTCTTATCATCTGCATAAGCCTTATTATCAATATTTTGTTATCATTATAATCATCGTTATTAACTATGTTCAAAACATTTACCACATTATTATTATTATTATGATTATTATTAAGACTATTAAGATTATTATTTGATTCCCAAAATCACCGTCATTGGTTAAAATTTTATATATAAATCTATGTAAATTAGAGTAAAGCCTGAAGAAGATCTAATTGAAAACAATATTGTTCGCTTATATGTCTCTAACTGATATCAATCGGCGATCAACTCGTAAGAAGATGATATAACTAGAAAAGATTAACAAAATGGAATTCTAGAAACAAACCAACGAACTATCTGTTGCCTGACAAATATTCCGAAAAACGACGAAGGTGGACGGGATACTCGCTGAGGAGACCATGGAGTGATATTACATGCCAGACCTCCTGTGAATTCTGCGTTGGAAACAACGAGTTGGGCGTCGAGGTTGACATGGAGCAGATTGTGAGAGGAGAACATGAATACTTTTGGTCATTCCTGGAGCCGGAAGACTGCTGAGAAGATGGTGAAACTGAGATGCACTACTAAAGCCCAGTGTAGCGCTCAGAACCTAAGGGAACAGTAATAATCAATAATAATGATAAAGTCAAGCAGCTTCCTTACTCTTGATTAACTCACAGTTCTACATAAAAAAAGCAAAATGATTGAACAAAGAATATCCTTTTCGATAATTTCCTCTTCTGGCTCTTCAATTATATAAGCATGTTTATTTACATAGAATATTCTAAATTAGTCGTCAACAACAATATTGGTGTTTTTTAAATAATATCGATTTGTTAAGTGAGACCAATGGAATTACAATTCATTAAAGATGCTTGAATTATAATAATAATAAAGATATAATAGAAAATGGAATATCATTAAAATTAGGAAAATTCCACAAAAACTGAGGATCATTCAAACCTAGATGACTAAGGTAAGGATAATGTCTGAACTAACTTCTTTTGGACACATAAATTAGACTTCTTAATATGGATCCCAACGACCTCAGCAATATTTAGTAAACCAACTTTTAAGGCGAAGTTAAGATTTGCTGGTATGCAGTAAATGCCTTTGAAAGCCTCATTGACATCAATTAGTAAATAATCCAACTTTAGCTGACTAAAAGTGCCCATTAAAGTTTTCAAAGGAATAGATACTGAACAAAGAGTACTCTTTTCGATAATTTCATCATGAGGCTCTACAGTTATATAAACATTATAGTGAATGAATGAATTAGTGTTATGAACAACATTAATGCTGTTTAAATAACATCGAATCAGTAATATTGATAGATTACAGCTGAATAGCATCAACATAAAATAAGCTGAATATCAGAAAAATTAGGAAAGATAATATTACAAATTCATGAATTTATAGTCTCTACTGAAGGGCCGGCCAGGGCAGTAGTAGTGGCTGGCTGGACTTGCTTCTTTTGAACAGAGAGCACTGGTTGTTCGAGGCGAATTGCAGTAGCCTCTGATGTTTGGGGCATGCGGTGCTTCAATAATTTTGGCAATTTATTAGGCGCCTGGTAGATGCTAGAGAAGGATTCTTCCACGCTGACTGGCTTTGTAGCTGGCTGGTTTGCATCAGATGGTCCAATATGGAATTGTTAATGGTTTTCACTAACCTTTACTTAGCTATTGCGGGAGATGTTCTCGAGCACGAAAGTTTTCATACCTATATTACTTATTTAATATAGAGCATTTATTTATTCATATATGTCAGGTAGCTGTATGTTTTTATTATATATACCATATCTTTTCACAGCGGTAAACGAGCCTCCAACAGAAACTAATTCACCAGTCCAGACGAAACGTCAACTAAGAAACGCAAAGTCATCAAAACGGAAAGCGGCTGGTAAAGACAATTCTGTAACAACAATACAACAACCCACAGGAGGTGGTACTGGAGGCAGTCGTAAGAAAAAAGGTGATAAGAATCAGTCTACAAGTGAAATAGTTGAACCTGTGGCAAATAAAGAAAGTGATAGTAATAATAATAACATTAATGATAATAATAATAAGAAACATGAAAATGAACAAGCTATTGAAACAGTTATAAAGACGTTGACGTTAGAGGAGACAGAACAAGTCGATGAAGATGTCAGCAGAAGTCAACAGTTTGAAGAGATAAGAAAACAGTTAGTCAATGAATTAAATGAAACAAAGCCTAAAAGGTAATGATGAATACATTTCAAATTAATTTACCCTAATGAACCTTTTGTTTTTGATAAAGAATACTCATCTGGCTAGTAAAACTAAATAAACTACACAGTCTAGCTATGTTCCCTTGGGTTTCGAGTGGAATATAGCGCTTCAACCTGAGCATATCTCCACTTTTTTCTATTTCATGCTGTCCTCTTCAGCTGGTTGGCTCCACGAGTGTCCATAATCTCTCATCCCCGCCTCCAACTCACACGATATCCTCCATGTCACCCTCCTACGGACGAACCAGTCCTCACCTTCCATTGAGGCTCCACTTGAACGATGGCCTGTACTGAGCGCAAAGCCGTTCAACGTATTCCTAAATGTATGCCCGATGAGTCCATCTCCATTTTCTCCTACATGTTCACTTGTTCAGCAATCGGCTCTCGCCTGTTGGTTTGTTCCCAACCAGAGATTCTTGTTGCTAGTTCTTTCTGGCCGGGTGGCCATTTGATCTTCAGTATGCAGCCAGTGAAGGGGCAGCTGTTGATAAAAATCTGCAGCAGTCTGTTGGAAAACCTTTTCATGACACGCTGGCCAAGTTTCTGACCTGTGTAGAAGCACTGACCGAATAGATATTGGTGTTTAAAATCCGAACCTTGATGTTTATTCTGGCTGAGTGAGTGATGGCAGATTTCCAAATTGGTTTCAGGCTAATGAAGGCGTATCTTGCCCTTCTGATTCTGACTGACTTTGACATCTTCATTCATCCCGCTATCCTGTGTCTGAAACTACACTTCCTAGATAAATGAAAGAAGTAACCGCCGTTAAATCCCTCTCGCTGATGGTGATTGGTGCCGACTGCTGCTATTGTTGTTGTGGTTTGTTGATTATCTTCATCACTTCCATCTTCTCTATGTCCATCTGAAGTACTGTCTTCGCTACCAGCCTCTTCAGCCAATTTGTTGGTTTTGGCCTTCAAGTCTTCTAGTTTGTGTGACATTAAACAGAAATCATTCACGCGCGAAATCCAGATCTTCTAGAGTCTTCTTATCGGTGGTTAAACGTATTCCTGTCTTCTCACTCCCCACATTCTAACGCATAATCCAATCCACCACAGTTAAGAATATCATCTGTGATAATAGGCAGACAGTCTTGTCTTACTCCTGTATACACTTCGAATGCCTCGTTTAGTTTTCCTTTGTGAATCACCTGACACGTGGCAAACGTTGTCATATAGCCAGCTGTTGAATGAGGTTGAAGTAGATTACAAATTACTCCGCGGTCAAAGGTGTCTGTCGAAGGCCTTCTCGAAGTCAATGAAGTTGAGGTAGAGGCAGGTTTGACAGCCATTCTATGCTTTGTTCTGTGATGATGGTGCGTAGAGTTTCGATTTGATCAGCACAGGATTTGCCTTTCCTGAGCTTAGCTTGTTCCGGTGTGTGGCGGAGTTCTGTATCTAGTCCATCCTTTATTTTCTTCAGGATGATGCAACTCAGTATTTTACTTGGTGTGGACAACAGCATGATTCCACGCCATTTCTTGAACATGTCTGAGTCCCCCTTCTTTAGCAGCTTGACTGGGTAGCCAGTCTTTCTTCCCGTCTATAGGTAACTTTCCTTCTTTCCAAATCTTTTGCATAAGCGGCGTGAACACATCAGTCACAGCCTTTGGATCCGTTTTCAGTGCTTCGATGGGGAATTCCACCTAGTCCTGCTGTCTTTCCGGTCTTCAGTAGCTTGGTCGCATTTAAAATTTCTGTTTTCGCTGGAGGATTGGTGTCCACTGATGAGTTGCAGGTGATAGTTGATTCAAGAGGCCTTTGAAGTGATCAGCTAATTGTTTTATTTCTTTCCCGTCCTTCGTAATCAAGTTCCCTTGAGCATCTTTTATTGGTTTCATCAACTTGGTTGATCTCTTCCGAGATAGAGACCTGGTTATCTGGTATTGTGTCCTTAGGTCTCTTTTACCTGCGGCCTGCCTGTTCTATTTCACTTGATAACAAGTGTGTCGTAGCACTCTTCTTCCTTTCTTTATTCAGTGCAGTGTACATTGAACTCAGCTTCTCCTTCTGTTGTCCATCTTTGCATTGAGTCATCTTCTCTTTCACCATCCTCCTCTCCTCCATTAGCTTCCAGGTATCCGTTGAGAGCCATTCCTTGTCTTGTCTCTTCCTTCTTCCCAGAACAGTTTTTACACGTTTTCCTTAAATATCGCTTTCAGAGAGTTCCAATGTTCTAACACACAGGTTTCCTCAGTGATGCCACGTAATGTGTCCGACTTTTCTCTGATCTGATCTGTAGTGAAGGGATCCATTGTAGTTTTGTCTTTCAGTTTCTGAATATTGAACTTGAATTTTGGTCTGTCTCCATTTATTTTCATGGATTTCAGCTTCACTTTGAAGGTTCATTAAACTAGATAATAGTCTGAGTGGGCCATCATCTTCTCCCCTTCTCGACTTTGTATCCAGCAGGCTGCGTCTCCACTTCCTTAGGCAGCACTGAGATAAAATCAGTCTGGTTTGTGGTATGTCCGTCAGGCGAAACCCATGTTGCTTTGTGTATATCCTTGTGTTTATACAGGCTTCCTCCGATCACCAAATCGTTGAAAGAGCAGAAGTCTGCGAATAATTCTCGGTTCTCATTCATTGTGCCGAGAGCCTTTCGACCCATGATGAGTTCTCTTCCTGTATTATCTGCCCCCAATTTGGCATTCATATCGCCCATAAGGATTTTGATGTCAATATTTGGGATGTTGTCCATTACTGTTTGTAGTTATCTGTAGAAATCCTTCTTCTTTTCTTGTTCCGCGTTGTTTGTAGGTGCGTAGCATTGGATAATTGTAACCTTCCTTCCTGTCTTTTAAGTTAAATCTTGTTTTTATAATCCTGGATGAAGTTGGTTCCCACTGAATTAGGGCTTTGGCTACAACTGGTGACGCCATTAAAGCCACTCACTGATTCAGTGTGTTTGTGGTTGTCATCTGGTTGATTGGAGTGAATTACTGACTCTTCCCTTGACAGTATTGTCAATCCACATCCATTCCATCTGCTTTCGCAGATACACAGCAGTTGTATACTACATCTTCTCATTTCTTTGGCTACCTGAGCAACCTTCCCAGTCTCGTACATTGTACGGACATTCCACGTCCCCATTCTTATTCTTGCTTTCATCGAGAGAGGACACAATGGCTGGCTGACTGGCTTCCGAAGTCTGGCTTTCACCACCCAGTTGTATCATTTCGCCTCTCCAATTCGAGCGAAGAATAAGATCACTCTTTGAATTTTTTTGTATTTTTAATATGTTTTTTGTGTATTGAAGTTTCTCTAGCGGTCCGATAGGTTTAGTGGTGTAGGGTTGCTAGCCCTTTGCCCAACCATCCCTCTTCACCCAGCCTTGGGACCGGCTAGAAAACTTGCAAGCTAGTTAACTAGGTGAAATTGAACTGTGGGAATATGTGGGAATAATATTTCGATGGAACACATGTCTGTACCATACCACCATAAGTTTATCTAGCCTTCTATTTTAACCTAATTACTTTGTCCATGAAAGGTAAGGTTTGATAAGTAGTTGACAGGCCAAGGGACATGAATCTATGTGAATTGCATTCAGTGTTTGAGGACCCAAGTTTTATAAATCACCGAAATTATGAAGTCATGTACTGCTCAGTTATACCTTTAGCTGAATAATTTTTTGTTAGAATTCATTATAAGCGTTAGAGATAAGAAAACAGTTGGCTGAAAAATTAGGTGGAACAAAGCCTAAAAAGTGATGAGTACGATTAGAATTCATTTGTCCTAATATTTTAGAAACTCAGCTTCTGATTCTTTAAACATATGTCCATCTCAAGACTGAAGGTCTCACGGGAATCCCCTAAGGGTCTTTAAATAACACTAAGCAACCATTCGGCAGTCTTTGGATAATAATGTCTCCTCAATTAATGTTGATTCGTAATGCAAATAAACATGTCAAGTACGATGAAATCTATCAGTTCAATTTGAAGCTTTAACATGTCAATTTCTACTGGATTATTTTGTGAAATGAGCTCTCAGGCCATTCCTATAGTTGAAGCACTTTTTGTTTTAAAATAACGAGAGTAACTCTCATTTCATTTATATTTTCTTTTAATACAGTTATCCTTATTTCGAATTCTTACCAGTTAATTTGAATACTGACAGTAGAAATCAGGAAACGTCCTCATCTTCAAAAAATGTCGGTAAGTTACCTAATCCAGAAATGTTTTTATGTGTTTGTTATTATTGTTCCGTTTGGTTCTGAGTGGAGCATTGGGCTTCAACAGCTCATATCCATTTCATCCTGTTATCTGAAGTAATCTTCAACTGGCTTTAGGACCGCACCTGTAGTCTCTTATCTCCTTTCCACACGGTCTCTTCCACGTAACACTCGGAGCCAAGTCCAACAGGGCATTTTCCATTCAGGTTCCTTTTGAGAGCCTGGCTCGCATTGTTACTCAGTTGTCGCCTCAAATTCTGTCTGTCTGTCTGTTTGTTTTCGACATAGAACGTTGCACAGATGTGCGGCAGTTCAAGTCGCCACACTACATGTAGCACACAAAGCAGGAGAAGAAATTAGAAGATATGCATATTAGAGACAGTAAACAGAGGTGTGAGACAAGGGAATAGTAATAACGAAGAACAAAACAGTTTCATTGGAAATCATAAGTCACAAGGAGTGGATCCATCTGCGTTAGCCATTGAGAACGATTTTGAGCCATGTCACCAATTGTTTCAAGCCATTGGTTTTTACCGTCCCGAGGACCCCAACCAGGAAGTCTACACCTTCCTACGTGACCTAGACTAACTGTTGTAGATTTCATTGACTGGTGCCATGTTTTGGTTTGACCGCCGCTAGCTAATTCTTTTCCAACCTGACCCTGTGTCAGCTAACATTGCCCGTTGTCGAAGAAGGTTAATACTGGGCATACGGAACACATGCACTAACCATCTCAGTCGATGTAGCTTCACAACTTCTCCAACCTACCTAACACTCGGCAGATACCTAACCTCAATATTGCTCACCTTATCATACCACTTCACACACCTGGGAGATAGAACGCAGACACCTATGATCAAAGACAGCTAGCTAGCCTTTTCATGTCTTCCACTCTCAGTGGCCATGTCTCACAGTCATAAAGGAGGACGGAGCGGACTGCTAAGCAGTACACACGCCCCTTGGCCGATAGCCAGCCGGATATCACGTCTACGCCAGAGACGGCATAAACTGGCATATGCGAAACCAGCTTTCTCTATCCGTGCTGAGATTTCGTCAGGAATCAACCCCGCTGGCGTTGGCTGATGCAACTTCCCAAATGAGTGAAGTAGTCAACGTGCTCTACTACTTCACTCCCTATTTCTAAACTAGGAGTCAGTGTAGTCCAGTCCTGTAAAATCATCTTACATTTCGCGGGAGTGAATCGCGTGCCAAACATTCGTAGATTGCATCTCAAGGTGTTCCGAAGACTCTGCATTTTGTCGTTGTCTTCACCTTGATGGACTATATCATCTGCATATTCTAAGTCGACGAGATAATTCATTGGTAGCAAGTCAATCCCTGAGGCTCTGAAGTGAGTGAGGGTTAAATTCATTAGTACATCTATGATGAAACTGAATAGAAGTGGGGATAACGGACATCCCTGACGGACACCACTAGTCGTCACCATTTCAGATGACAACTCGCCATTAGCCCTTACCTGGCTGCATGAGTTCGAGTAGAGTGCCCTGATCAGTGCCATGTATTTTCTCGGCATTCCCTTTACAGACAAGCATCGCCAGAGTACCTCTCTGTTGACAGAATCGAATACCGCCTTTAGGTCAAGAAATATTATGATTGTTGGACGCCGGTAAGAATGCCTATGCTCTGAAATCTGTCGAAGGGTGAAGATATGATCAATACACCCTCTTCCTGGCCTAAAGCCTGCCTGGTTGCCTCAAATTGTGTCTGATCCATTTCCATTTTCTTCTTGGTTGATTTGTCGCCAGAGGTCTTTGTTTTTTCATCCTTTCCAGTCGTTTCAGTATGGAGCGCAGGCAGCTGTTGATGAAAGTTTGAAGCCTATTCGAAGTGCTTTTGGTGGCATACCAAGTTTAAGAATCATCTAGAAGCAATGATTGACCTGATATTAGTGTCGAAGATCTGAATTTCGTTCCTCGTGTTGAGCGCAGTAGATTTCTACACAGATATCAGAGTAATGAGGGCCTGTTCTGCTTTTTCGATCCCGACTAGCTTTGACTATCTCTGAAAAATTAAGTGGGTGAGTTTACTTCCTTCATGTTCATCCCGCTGGTGGGGAATGGCACCTGTTTTCACTGGTTAGTTATTCTCATCACCTTTGTCGTTTCTATGTTCTCCTGAACACATGCCTTCGCTGCTTCTTCTGCCAGCTTTCTGGTTTGCGTCTAGGATCTCTGTAGCACATCTGTACTGTACTCACTTCTTTGGTATCATTTTCAACCAGTGTCAAAACTGCCTACGAGCTTTTGATTTTCTTCTCACATGATCTCTTCCATATTACCCCTGGAGCCATACCCAACTCATCACTCCCTCTTCAGGTTCCACTCGACTGTCTTTCCTCAGTGAATTTTTATACCATCTCTGTTTCCTTTGTTGAGTATTTGTTGGGTGATGGCTTACGGACTGCTGGTTAGATGTTTGCCAAAACCCTTTGATGATTATCCTTTCCGACCACCCATCTGAACTTCAACATTCAACGAAAGTAGGTGATAATGAAAGTCCTCAGTTGGCTGTTGAAAATACCTAAGTTGTTGTGTGCTCCGAGTGTCCGAAGAATATGGAAGCAATATGACTTGGCATTGCTGTTAACAACTGGGGTGTGATTAACCTCTCTCACTCCCTTGGTAACTGAATTTTGATTTTGATTACATTAATTACACTAGTCATCTAATTCAGTGATCTCAACTCACTGAACAAATCTCAGTCTGAAAAACTGTGACCGCTTTTGTTTTTCTTTTCTTTTTTGAATTGCTATGTGAACCTACAAGCTAACACTGTTTGTTAATTTTTTCTGTTCTCTGTCTTACCTCTCCTCCCTCTTTTCTACTTTGAAAGCGTATAAATTGATGATGAAAACTTAAACTAAAAATTGTATTACTGCTTACATTATGGATGCGACAATTTTATAGTATTTCTTCTCTACTACCACTTAAACCTTAAAGTATGTTATTGTCATCTATCTATGTAACCATTGTAATTTCAGGTAGTCTGCAGTTAGCTGATGAGAACCCGTGAAATAGAATCATGATATCATTTTATACTGCAAATTTCGCCTTCCTTTCTTTATCGAAATTGGGTTTTCTTACTTGTTCTCAATGCTGTGCCGTAGATCTTCAATTTCTGGCGCAGCGGAGACCTATTTTTCCATCCTAGTCAAATCCTGTTTAACTTTGACATCCTTGCGGTTGGAACTTAACTTACACAGATATCTCGATGAAATGAATTCCTTCAGATTTATTCCACTGATAGTGACTAGTGTTTCGTGTTGTTAGTCAAGTATCTTCATCGCCTTTGTCTTCTCTGTGTTCATCTAAAGTCTGTCTGTCTGTCTGGATTCAGCATAGAACTTGGCACCGAAGTGCAGCAGTTCGAGTTGCCACGTTCCAAATAGCACACAAAGGTAGACAAAAAAATGAGTGAAGAGAATCAATAGAGTTTTGACAAGTATAAGAGTGAAAGAGAATGAGTAATGGTAGAAAGGAATATGAAAGATTACAGAGACTGAATACATCTGCGTAAGCCATTGACAACGATTTTGAGCCATGTCACCTATTGTCTCCAGCCATTGATTCTTAGAGTCCTGAGGGTGGGTCCCAACCCGGAAGTCTGCATCGCCCTACCTGACTCAGTTTAACTGTCAAGGATTTAATGGATTGATGCCATGTTTTTGTTTGGCCACCACTTACTCTTTTCCAACCTGCACCTATATCAGCTAGTAATGCCCGTCCGTCGGGAAAGGCGATGGTTAGGCATGCGCAGAACGTGACCAAGCCATCTCAGTCTATGTATCTTTATAGCCTCATCGGTTGATTTTCCCTCTTTGCCCAACACTCTAAGCTTAACGTCAACATTACTTACCTCATTATACAACCTAACGTGAGAAAGAGATCGTAGACATCTATGATCACAAGCAGTCAACTTTTTCATGTTCTCAACTCGTATTGGTCATGTTTCAGAGCCATAGAGAAGGACGGAGCGAACTGCTGAGCAGTACACACGTCCCTTGGTTGATAGTCGGATGTCACGCCTACGCCAGAGATGGTGTAAGTTAGCGAAAGCAGCCCAAGCTTTTTGGATCCGTGCTGAGATTTTGTCACCAATCAATCCGTTGGTGCTGATACAACTTCCTAAATAGGTGAAGTGGTCAACATGTTCTATCACTTCACTCCCTATCACTAAGTAGGATTTGACGTAGTCCAGTCCTGTAGCAGCATCTTACATTTTACAGGGGCGAATCACAACGGTAAAGAACAGACACCAACTACAGACGAACTTGAAACAACCAATCAGATTCTTTCAGTTAAAAAGTGGCATAAAATCAATAAAAAATTGTATTTTATAATATATATGTGTAATAAAAATGAATTATATAGGATAAACGTCTCTAATATGCTGCAAAAACTGGTCCCAGTTTCGAATAGGAGTGGTTATAGATATATTAAACCAATGTTGATACAAAAACTCATCCCTAAATGGCTATATACCATATCACTTCGGGAACCGTTTACCATTCTGATACGCTTTTTCAGGTGAGCTCAAAAACCTTCAATAGAATTTGTATGTAATTAGTAGTGTTCTATGAGCTGTTTGGTTTACTTGCGGAGCTTCCGTCGGCCCCCTTCTGGACAACATCTTCAGTGCAATTTTTAGCATGAAGTGAACTGATTTAAATTTTCCATGAGTGGTAGAACTGCGTCTCCCAGTAACCATCTTTATATATGTAGTGATCATTTTTTATTGACTTGGATTTTAAACTTTCTCGTCACATGATTTACTTTTTATTAGTTGGTATATTTGATCTATATTAACGTGTTTGCTAATCGCATATTCGTTCGAGTGCCAGGCTTCTAGGAATTCCCTGGTTGCAATTTTGGTGTTTCCTCTGTCTAAAATTTCTACATTATCCCAGTTATCAAACTGATGTCCATAATTGTCTATATGCATTGATATGAAAGAGTATATATC